AAAAAAAAAAAAAAAAAAAAAAAAAAAGGAACGAAACAAATCCTTCCGATGAATATTATTTACAATTTATTAATTTCACATTACGGCCGGTATTTTCTCTTTTTTTTTTCTTTTTTCTTTTTTCTTTTTTAAGCAAAGCATCGAGTCTCCTGGGATCTCTTTGACGGACAAAATGTTTAGTATTGACACCACTTACCTGCTTTGGATTCTTGTGAAAAGTTATTAAGGATCTTTCATCTCGATTACTCCGAGTTTTTTTTTCTTTTTTTATTTTTTTGGTTAAACGGTATTACGATTCAGTGATTAAAGAACGAAAAATTTGGCGAAAATAGTTATCGTTTTGAAAAGGAATTATTTTTAATGCAGACGTAAATACAGAGCCACACAAATGGTAAAATAAAATAGTTGGCAAAGTGAAGAATCTTTGAGAAGAAAATACTCCTTTGCACGAGTAAGATTTACGAAAATAACGAGAAGATCCGAAAATTAAGTGACGCGCGAGAGTGCTTTCTTTTTCGACCAATCGTATCAACTTCAGAGATGAATAAATCTTGGACATCGCTTGGAAAGCGTTACCAAAGCGAACATAATGCAAGAAGCGATAATCGATCATGCCACTACGCATGCAGCAAACAGAAGCAGAAATTAAGCGAGCAAAACACACACAAACTGGCGAGGTCATGTACATAATAAAAGCATGCTCTGTTCGAAGTAACGAGGTAGCATGAAGAAACATTAGAGTGCGAACACGTGTTTTTCTAAATAATATATCAACGATCGAAAATGTTAGAGCCAGAAGCATTCTTAATACTAACGATCGCCGTATAGTAATCATCGACAAGCAACGTGAAATCATCATTATGTAACTTATATCTCTATCATTACCATGCATTAAATTCAATCCTATTATTTACATTACTTGTCAATGGAGAACTACTGTCAGATACCACTTTGATAAAATAACTTTCATAATAAGATTATATATAATGCGTGTATATGATGCACATCAAAATTAATTTTACGTATAACCACATATATATATATATAAAACAAAAATTTTCATAAATTTCCAAGATTTAGTGATATTAATGTTCGAAAAGCTTCACAGATGGCAATACTGTAATACTGTTCGACAGTGCTAGTATAGTCTTAGCATGAATTATTAAAGTTGATTATCAACACGTGGTTTGTCACTATATTCGAGCTATTTATATAACTAATTTACGATTAATATCTAAGAATACCATACAATACTGACCATCTTGGTCTTCATGCAGGGTAGAATGCATGGAATGGATGGAGTCCAGCTTTCGCTTGATTCCGCGGCCGAGGGCATGTTCCCTGCCCTCGCACCTCACTGTGCTCACCACACCTTCCGCTTGCTTCAACGTCTCTGACGTATAGATCTGTCAAATACAACTCGATCAACTCAGGCACAAGCCTACCAGTCACATGCTAATATCATTTCAATCTATCAAGTCTGCCAAATCGCTCGTTTCGATTCGATAAACCCTTCTCTTTCTCCGGCAAGATCCTCATCATTCTTTCGACCGAGCGTGAAAAACATAAGTGAACATAGGGTTACAGAACATAAGAGAAAAGAGAGAAAAACAAAGCTGCTCGAACAGAACGATTTTTAACTTAATACACGAATGATATCGTTCATCTGCGAACAGGTTAGGCGAGCGTTTACGTCCCCGGCCTACTCGCGGGCCGCTAGTTCCCTCTGCTGCAGCGCGGCGTCGCTAGTGGTCGGACTGGTGACGAAGATCGAACGGTTTTCGTAGCACTAGTATAACTTTCCAATATTTTTTGGTTATTATTTCACTATATTTTTCTTTTCCTATCTTTTTATGTATCAAAGGTTTGTTGAGATTCTGCTGATAAGAACATGAGTTTAAACGTGATCTCTTAGAGATTGTTATCAACACATTTCGTGCCAGATTCATTTCATATCACTTTCCGTTAGTGTCCAGTGGTCCCCATGTTAACACTAATAGTAATATACAATACGTTACAAAAGTATTAAAAAATTCTAATTTTAATGAAAATATAATAAATTACACATGGAGTAATTTTTGTAATGTTTAAAATATGTTTATAAAATAAGAAAAAGGAAGTTTGTGTTAGTAAGTAGTCAGTAATCAGTACAGTGTAATGCTTTGAATGATAAGTTTAAATTGAGATGTATACAACCCACGTGGCACGAAATATGTCAATTAGCGTTTCAAAATTATTTTGTATCTGTGTATGCGTTTGTTAAAAATCGAGGGTTTAATTGGAAAGCTATACCGATGCTGTGAAGGCGTCGTTTGACTTCACTCTGTCGCGACACGACTCGTCGTCCGTCTTTGTCAGCATTCGGGTCAGGAGTAACGGTGCGCGGTGGCGCTAGTAGTCAGCGACTAGAGCGGAGACATAAACGCTTGCCTAGCCTTTTCGCGAATGGGCGATACAAAAGAATATCGACGATGAACGTTCGATGACATCTACTGTGATAGAAAACTTACGTTTTCTACGCTATCAATGGCCGAATTTATATGGCACGTTGAGATTTCATTCTTCGAGGGCATGCAAACGAGAAATGATACCAAGGTGACAAAATCCAAACTCTGATTACGCATGCTCATTGCAAGGTATTCTCTTTTTTCGTTTCGAACATTTAGGAATATGTATGTCAGATAATTTCTGTCAAAATAATATTGTTTAGCAAAAATTTATTTTTTCTCTGTTTGCCATTATAAAGAATCGTGTTTCTTCTTTTTTTTTTTTCTTTTTTCATGTAGTTTTTTTTTTTTTAGCGATATCCGTTAATACACGGTTGATCATACAAGTTACATTATTGCAATGTACGTTTTAAATAATAATGCTAAAAACGAGCCGGACATAGCTCGGGCCACAAAAGGTGTGCGCGTGAAAATGAATAACGTTAAATACAAACTAATTACAAACTTAATAGTATCTATTGAAACGCGTATCGTGCCCTTGCGAGAAGGGAATGCCACTGATGTCTAATTGTAAAATGTACAAAATTAATTAATAGACCCGTACGAAAGAAAGATGCTCAGTCGTCCGACGATGAGTCAGTCTCCTCACCGTCGTCAGCTTCTTGCGCATATACGAATTGATTGTAAATGTATGGATTTATATAGGCCTGCTTACTGGGCGAGTAGTTCACGACAGCAATGCTATTAGGATCAGACCTATAGTTATACAAGTGAGGATAGAGACCTGCTGGCGCAGCGATACCGATATTTACAAATTTCTGATAATTCTCGTCTTGTGGACAATAAGGAATGCCAATGCTCTGATTCTCCAATGACTTTTCCTCCGAATTTTGATCTACGTCATCTTGCACTGGAAGATGCTGCGATATCTGCGAGTCAATCTGATCGGTCTCGGCGCATGACTTGGTATCGTACTTGGTCTGAGGTAACATCGTGTAATGCGCATGGTCTGGCACTAAAGTTTGCTGTCGATAAACATTCGTATTGGGAACGTAATGTTGGCTATGATAGAGGATCGGCTGATAATGACCATGACCTACAACCGGTAACGTATTGACGTCCACCTCTGTATAAGAGACGTCTGTCATTTCTTTAGTGACGCTCAGCTGATCTTCGACGGGTGAGTGGTCCATTGTGTCTGAATATATGGAATGATTTGGTGATGAAGTGTCCATATGCTCCTGTGAGTCAGCGTATGTGTTTTCGGGGTGTGTCGTATCGGCTGGCTGGTGCATGTCTGTTAGAGTTAGATGACGGTTGACCTGCTCTACATGGGTACCAACCTGGATCCCAGTAGTCACCGTCGACTCCACATAAGTCTTCCCATGGAGACCCGGCTGACTAAGCGTGATTTCTTTCGTGGTGATACCCTGAATTCTCCAATCTTCCGACGCCACTGGCACGTCGCCTGAGTCCGGTTCGCTACTTGACACGCAATGAACCATTGGCTGGAAACGCAAATTGATATTTAACGCGTCCAATTATCTAACTAACATCGCATTCAAACAAATTTCCTCAAACAATTTCGTTGCAAACAGTATCATTTAGATGTCTTAAACCTATCATAACGAAACGTGTAACTATAAATTATAAATCGATCACTTTCATGATTTCCTAATCCACGTCGTTCAACGTTACATTGTCTAAAACAAACTAACCAATCATATTTCTCACATTTTTCATTTTTTATTTTAAAATTAAATAATTGTTTTCCTATTCTTCTTCACTTAGAAACTACGTAATATTTTTTTTTATTTCAAAATTAAATATGCAAAAATTCAAAAATCATTTCTTTAATCTTTTTTTATTTAAGAGTTAAACAATTCTTTTCATTTTGCTTGAAACAAAAGTTCAATAATAAATTACTTGGAAACGTGTGTATTTACAAATTTGAGTTAAAGAACAATGTCTTGTTATCTATTCAATAATGCAGGATTACCGTAGACGACGAGTGATGCCTAGCAGTAATAGGTGGTGCAGGTGAAGCTGCTCCATGCGTTGTGGTGTCAACAGCAGGGCTATTCGACCTTTGGCTGTTCCCCGGGCTGTGCGTGGTAGTGTCCGGCGGTGATCCTTGCCTCATCATAGCCGACTGAGCCATGTTCGCTTGGTTTCCAGCTGTCTGCGTCGAAACAGAGTGTCTCGCCATCAGCGGACTGTGCTGGTCGCTCTGTTGAGCTGTTTTCTCAACGACAGTCGTGCTACTGCTGGCGAGAACGTATTGCTGCTGTTCAACGTTTTGCTCCGACGACGGCGAATTCACGCTGCTTTTCGGCGAAGTGGGTGCCTTTCCCTGAATCATCCCAGAACTCAAGATATACGACTGATTATGGTCGATGTTCAACGAAGGATCAACGGCTGTTCCATTAGGAGCTGCAGCTTGAAAATTAGGTATCTGATTGTTAGACACCATGGTCGTTTGCTGTTGCACTATCGTGGTATTCTGCTGGACGAACGTGGTGTTTTGTTGATTAGGAGCTGAAGAGACAGCGATATTTTGCGCTGTCCCGCACGGTACCATCAACGTCTGCCCGTTCATCTGTATGAACTCCTGCTGGCCCTGCATGTTCGTCGGACGCACTTGCGAGGCATTGAAAGTCACTTGCTGATTTGGACTGACATTGGCTACTATCGGACTCAACTGATTCCCAAACGACGTCGTCCCATTAACCAAGAATTGGCCACTATTCGGCGAGAGGAATTGTGCGCCGGGACTATGCTGCTGAATAATTTTGCCACCGGTTGCTTGCGGTGCACGGATGACCATTCCAGCAGGACCAGCTGCTAAAATGCTTTGACTCGGATTGAATATTCCACTGTGACTCTGCACTGGGGTCAACACGTTCTGACCGTTCACGTTCTGTATCTGCAGCTGCATACCTATATTCCCTGTGTCTTGCAGCAAGGTAGCCGTCCCGTCAGCAGACATGACCATGCTTCCTATACCGGGAACGATGAACTGTTGAATGGTAGGGAAATTTTGAACCATGCCAGCAGCCCTTTTTTTCCGGCTGCAGGAGATTGATCTGCTGAGCAGGCTGAGGATTCGTGATGATTTGCTGGGCATTGAACTGTGCCGAGGCAGCACCAGCCTGTCCGTTCATTACCAATTGAGCCGGTGCTCCGCCCTTTCCTGGGACAATTGTCAAAGCCTGCAACATGGGCCCGCCGATGCTCTGAGTCTGGAAGTTCTGCTGTGCGAAGTTCGACTGAGACTGCATCAACATGCCAGCGTTCTGTTGGGACGAAGCAATGTGCAACATCGAGGCTACTGTCTGCGGGTTGGCCTTTCGTTTCTTGTACGCTTTCTTTTTACTCATCGCCGATTCGGGTGACAGTAACGCTGGCTGTCGGTTCACCATTCCTTGATTCGCACTCACGTTCCTCGCGACATCTTGATTCGCGTCTAGGATCGACTGAGCATTCTGTATCACGTTCCCAGTTGCCACGGTTAGATGCGGTATTTGAACATTCTGACCAATACTGTCCATCGTCATCACGCCAGGTTGTATAAGTACAGGAGTCTGAATAGTGTTCACGAGCACCGTGGGCTGCCCGATAACTTGCTGGGCTACACCCACTGCGGGGATCACCTGGCTGACAGCGCCTGTCACACTGGTCACCATAGGCGACACTGATAATGGCGGCATAGAGTTGGAATTGGAAATGATTTTTGGAGGAGGCGGTGCCATTACACCGTTGATGCCTGACCCTGTGCTAGCCATTATAAGCTGACCGCCGTTGGACACTAATATATGACCGGGAGGTAAGGTCGATCCAGCAGGGTGTTTCAATATTCCACCAGAGGTAAGAACGTTATGGACCTGGACATTGGACTGAGGATGCTGTTGCGTCGGTTGCTGCTGCTGTTGCTGATTCTGCGGTTGTACTGGCGAATTGGTACTGTTCTGGGGTACCTGTATACTGCTAACGACACTTTGAACCATCTCTAACGGTGACTTCGAGACACTTATTGCTATTGATGGTTGGCTATTGGGAAGAGAGGAGGTTGTAGCAATGACAGTTGTCGGTACATTCGTCAGGGTCGTGGATGACGCTTGATGCTGCGGCTTAGTCGAGAGTATATCTGGTATAGCAGGATTCGG